CATGGAGATTAAAACTCTCCAAAGTATAGAAACAGGATTCATAGACAAACGTTGCTTAAGTTTGCATCGGGCGGCTGCTTGCGGGAATAATCGGTTTGGCATCAGTTTGCCTGTCATTGTCTTCCAAGGATTGGGCTTTCGCGTCAACCACTTGGAACCCTGTATTATTTGCCTCGAAAGGAACCCGAGATCTCGTGAATTGGAAGGAAGTGACTTCCACTGTTAGGTCTTTATTCGAATAGCCAAAAAATGCCAGATGTCACTATAAAGGCGTCAAGCAACATGGAGCGGGAGATTAGAACTCTCCAACACTATCCAATCTCGAATTATCGTTAACCCAAAGTACTCCGAGTACTTAGAACCAATCCAATGCATGTACTCGTAGAAGGAAAGCCAGGATCTAACGATCTATCAGGATCCGACGCGGAACTTCTTTCCTCCTAGGCGCATTGACAGGCAGCTGCAGGGAAAAGCACAGCTCGGTAGGCTGTTGGCGCGGATCAGGAGTATCTCGGGCGGGTAATCGTTGGAATCAGCGATTCCGGAGCGTAGCCGGCATCAGTTTGTCTGTCATTGTCTTCCAAGGATTGGGCTTTCGCGTCAACTACTTGGAATTCTGTATTATTTGCCTCGAAAGGAACCCGAGATCTCGTGAATTGGAAGGAAGTGACTTCCACTGTTAGGTCTTTATTCGAATAGCCAAAAAATGCCAGATGTCACTATAAAGGCGTCAAGCAACATGGAGCGGGAGATTAGAACTCTCCAACACTATCCAATCTCGAATTATCGTTAACCCAAAGTACTCCGAGTACTTAGAACCAATCCAATGCATGTACTCGTAGAAGGAAAGCCAGGATCTAACGATCTATCAGGATCCGACGCGGAACTTCTTTCCTCCTAGGCGCATTGACAGGCAGCTGCAGGGAAAAGCACAGCTCGGTAGGCTATTGGCGCGGATCAGGAGTATCTCGGGCGGGTAATCGTTGGAATCAGCGATTCCGGAGCGTAGCCGGCATCCGACATCGACATCCGATTCGGGAATTAATCGATCCCGTCCGCGGAAAGGACAAAGAGGTTGGAAGGTGGAAGGCGGAAAGCGGAAGGCGGAAGGGCGCCGTAGTCTCGGCGTGGGCGACGACGAACGCTAGGTCGAACAGATCGGTGGGCGTCCACCGGTTCGCCCAATTGGTCGATCGAGCCGGTAATGGTCGGTGGGCGTCAGGTAAGCGCAGATGCGCGGCACCGAGTGCGCACTTGGCTGCCTTTAGCCGACGACTCGCTCCATGCATCCTCGCGCGGCTCCCGGCTTCCCCCTTCGGCGCGCCGCTCTTCGACCACACTGTCGACTAAGCCTCTCTGTCCACCTCTCCCTGTCTCTCGTCGCCTCCTCTCTTCCTCCGATCGTAATCGCGCAAGCCCTGCTCTGCCTCTCCTCCTTCCTCCGCCAACTCGTATTTCTCGTCCTCCTGTTCCTCTTCTTCATCATCATCTTCTTCTTCTTCTTCTTCTTCTTCTTCTTCTTCGTGTTCGTGTCGTTCGTGTTCGTCTTCAGGTTCGTCTTCGTCAGCGTGGCTGCTGCCGCCAGCGTGACCGCGGCCACCGCCACCGCCGCCGCGCCGCGGCGCCTTAAATCTTGATCTCACCTCGACTGAGCAGCGAGGAGGGTGGGGGTAAGGCTAGTCTGGGCGCGCTTCGAGCCACCGAACGGAAGGCAATCTGCTCGAATCCGGCGGACCGCGAGCAGGTTACCCCGTGTACTCGTGTTACATCGTTCCTCTTCTGTTCCTTCTTCTTCTTCTTCTTCTTCTTCTTCTTCTTCTTCT